TTAAAAAAATTTTGCCTCTAACTCTTGGGGGGAGTTTGGGGGTTCTTTGGAGAGGTTCTCGGGGTTTAATTCCCAACCCAGAGGAGTTGCGAGAGACATAAACGAGTTTTAAAGTCCCCGGGTTTTGGGATGCCCTTAGATGTTCTGGGCCGCACGCGCGCTACACTGATGCGTTCAACGAGTATACAACCTCGATCGATAGGTCTGGGTAATCTTGTGAATGCGCATCGTGCTAGGGATAGACTGTTGCAATTTTCAGTCTTGAACGAGGAATTCCTAGTAAACGCAAGTCATCAGCTTGCATTGATTACGTCCCTGCCCTTTGTACACACCGCCCGTCGCACCTACCGATTGAATGACTCGGTGAAAAATTGGGACCGTGAGTCTGTTTGCTTTATTGCGAGTGGATTGATGGGAACTTTTTTAAACCTCGCCATTTAGAGGAAGGTGAAGTCGTAACAAGGTTTCCGTAGGTGAACCTGCGGAAGGATCATTACCACACCTAAAAACTTTCCACGTGAACCGTTTCAACCCAATAGTTGGGGGTCTTACTTGGCGGCGGCTGCTGGCTTTATTGCTGGCGGCTACTGCTGGGCGAGCCCTATCAAAAGGCGAGCGTTTGGACTTCGGTCTGAGCTAGTAGCTTTTTTATTTTAAACCCTTTACTTAATACTGATTATACTGTGGGGACGAAAGTCTCTGCTTTTAACTAGATAGCAACTTTCAGCAGTGGATGTCTAGGCTCGCACATCGATGAAGAACGCTGCGAACTGCGATACGTAATGCGAATTGCAGGATTCAGTGAGTCATCGAAATTTTGAACGCATATTGCACTTCCGGGTTAGTCCTGGAAGTATGCCTGTATCAGTGTCCGTACAACAAACTTGGCTTTCTTCCTTCCGTGTAGTCGGTGGAGGAGATGCCAGATGTGAAGTGTCTTGCGGTTGGTTTTCGGACCGACTGCGAGTCCTTTTAAATGTACTAAACTGTACTTCTCTTTGCTCCAAAAGTGGTGGCATTGCTGGTTGTGGACGCTGCTATTGTAGCGAGTTGGCGACCGGTTTGTCTGCTGCGGCGTTAATGGAGAAATGCTCGATTCGTGGTATGGTTGGCTTCGGCTGAACAATGCGCTTATTGGGTGATTTTCCTGCTGTGGCGTGATGGACTGGTGAACCATGGCTCTTTAGCTTGGCATTTGAATCGGCTTTGCTGTTGCGAAGTAGAGTGGCGGCTTCGGCTGCCGAGGGTCGATCCATTTGGGAAATGTTGTGTACTTCGGTATGCATCTCAATTGGACCTGATATCAGGCAAGATTACCCGCTGAACTTAAGCATATTAATAAGCGGAGGAAAAGAAACTAACAAGGATTCCCCTAGTAACGGCGAGTGAAGCGGGAAGAGCTCAAGCTTAAAATCTCCGTGCAAGTTTTGCGCGGCGAATTGTAGTCTATAGAGGCGTGATCAGTGTGGGCGCTTGGGGCAAGTTCCTTGGAAGAGGACAGCATGGAGGGTGATACTCCCGTTCATCCCTGAGTTGCTCGTGCGTACGATCCGTTTTCTTTGAGTCGCGTTGTTTGGGAATGCAGCGCAAAGTAGGTGGTAAATTCCATCTAAAGCTAAATATTGGTGCGAGACCGATAGCGAACAAGTACCGTGAGGGAAAGATGAAAAGAACTTTGAAAAGAGAGTTAAAGAGTACCTGAAACTGCTGAAAGGGAACCGAATCGTTTCCAGTGTCTATAATCCGTGGTATATTTCATTGGCGAGTGTGTGCGTGCGTGTGCTGTGGCAGCGGCTTTTTTGGCTGCGCTCGGCGTGTGTGCTGTGTGTGCTTGCTGGTGCCCTGTGCTGCGGTGGGACGTCAAGGTCAGTTCGTATGCTGCGGGAAATGGCCGCCGAGGAGGTAGGGCTTACGCTTGCGTTTGTCTGTTATATCTTGGTGGACGAGTAGTCGCGGTTGGGACTGAGGTGCCTACAACGTGTTTTTGAGTGGGCCTGTGTCTCTGTGTGCGCCGTGTGCGGATAGCTTGCTATGCGTGTGTGGTTGTGTGTGGATTGATGTGGGTTTTAACTTGTTGCCGTTCGGGACGTTGACGAAATGGAGCGATTTGACCCGTCTTGAAACACGAACCAAGGAGTCTAACATGTGTGCAAGTGTTAGGGTGTGGAAACCCCAGCGCGAAATGAAAGTGAAGGGCAGCGTAAGTTGTCTGAGGTAGGAAATGCTGCGGGCTTCGGTCTGCGGTGTGGCACTATCGACCGATCATGAACCTTCGTGGTGAAAGATTTGAGTTTGAGCACATATGTTGGTACCCGAAAGATGGTGAACTATGCCTGAGTAGGGTGAAGCCAGGGGAAACTCTGGTGGAAGCTCGTAGCGATTCTGACGTGCAAATCGATCGTCAAACTTGGGTATAGGGGCGAAAGACTAATCGAACCATCTAGTAGCTGGTTCCCTCCGAAATTTCCCTCAGGATAGCAGCAACTTATTTACGATAGTTTTATGAGGTAAAGCGAATGATTAGAGGATTCGGGGAAGAAACTTCCTCGACCTATTCTCAAACTTTAAATCTGTAAGACCTGCAGGTTTCTTAATTGAACTTGTGGATGTGAATATCAAGTTGCTAGTGGGCCATACGGGGTAAGCTCGTCTGGCGATGCGGGATGAACCGAACGCAAAGTTAAAGTGCCAAAATGCTCGCTCACCTAGATACCATAAAAGGTGTTGGTTCATTTAGACAGCAGGACGGTGGCCATGGAAGTCGGAATCCGCTAAGGAGTGTGTAACAACTCACCTGCCGAATGAACTAGCCCTGAAAATGGATGGCGCTAAAGCGGGCTACTTATACTTTGCCGTTAGCGCGATAGCATTTATAATGTACGCGTTAATGAGTAGGAGGGCGTGAAGGTCGTGAAGAAGCTCGTGGCGTGAGCCTGAGTGAAACGGCCTTTAGTGCAGATCTTGGTGGTAGTAGCAAATATTCAAATGCGAACTTTGAAGACTGAAGTGGAGAAAGGTTCCGTGTGATCAGTAATTGGACACGGCTGAGTCGATCCTAAGAGATAGGATAATTCCGTTTGAAAGCTGGGCTGTTTGAGGCGTGGGGTTCGTCCTTGCGTTTTGTATGCAGC